CCATCACTAGTGTTTTCTTGTGGGAATTTCACTACAGTGAGATTCTTCAGCACATCTCTCTGGTACCCCTGATGTCAGTATTGAAGTCTATCTAAGGTGTAGTCAACCCAACTCAGCGAACAAATAGCAAATCAAAGTGATTAATCAACTGCAGGAACCACAGACCGATAGAACACAGTTATAAACTCAAATCCTTTCTGTGCCCTTCAGCTGAAGCACCGGGCGTCTAACATTTATCTCTGATGCTGAAGGAGGGTAAAGACAGCATCAGGGTTTCTCTCAAGGACCTTCTCTTGGGTCCTGCTATCCCTTGTCTGATAGACTTTCTCAAAATCAAAAGGAACCAGCATTTATCAAACCCAAGCTAGGCTTGGCTGACTATGGCCAGGCAGCAGCTGTAACAGGTCCAAAGAGATTTCAGTATGATGCGTTGCATATTCTCTTCAACAACCACCATTTCTCTAAAAGACACTTTTTCCTCATTCTTCTCAGGCACATTTTGCTGATAGGCAGAAAGACAGCCTAAGGCCTGTGTCTCTTGAAAGTCTCACTCCTGCCATCAGAATGAACACTATTACGTAGAGTTCACTGTGATAAACACTTTGGTACTCCCACACCTCTATGATTAAGTCATTACCCAAGCAATTTACAGCTGTGATAAAAATCAAAATATTAAAAAAACCAAAACCAAAATTAAAGGTGCATTATCTGATAGACTAAGGCAATGGTGTTGCTTTCTGTTTTTAAAAGCAATGTTCAGGCAATGATTAAAATAAGTGACAATAAAACCATCACATTAATAAAATACTAGTGTTGGCCTTGAGGATGTGCTTAAGGATTGGATGGTAACCAAGGCAACCCAATCTTCTGGAGAAAGTTTAAGTAGACAGTTTTAAAGCCATGGTTCAAAAATACAGTAAATCTGGCTGGAGGGCTACTTGTGACATATGGAAAGTGCCACAGCCACCCACCGTGAAGCACTGATCTTTTAATAAGTCATCCTCCTGTAGTCCACATGGTACATTGGATCAGTCACTGGGTGCCCTCCTGCAGTTGGCGTAAGGGCGATGCAGGAGCCATTTCATATGTTCTGAGTAATTTGACAGAAATTTGACTGTGCCCACATCCTACCCAGGCCAAATCTATATGACTAGGTGATACAGAATCAGTCTGGTATTAATGACTGTAGACCCATAGCTTGTGTCACACCATGCAATGGCTTTAAGCCTGTGCTTAAACAAACCCCATGGGTTTAAATATTCTGCTAAATTATAACCTGATCCTGGACTCTATCGGGCCCCATCTGGCCACACAAATCATGAGATCAGGCCCTACTTGCCAACAAATGCTAGATAAAGCCAAAGTAGCATAAGTGAAAACTGCAGACTTAACAGAAATGTCCATGTGATCTTCCAATTCTTTCTGAAAGGGACAGTTTGGACATTACCACAGCCACACATGACATGAATTTTTATCATGGCTAAGAAGTCCACCTCAAGAAAAGCAAGATCTCTTTGGCAAAAAGACTCCTTTCTTTGGAACAGGTAAAACAGGATATATTATAAATATGTGATAAATATTGTGATGAAGCAATATCCCAGTGGTTCTTAATTGCAGTGAGATTGAGATAAATCCACCAGCATTTCCTAATTTAATCCTGAAGCATCACAGGGGAGATTTCCACACACATGAGGCTGATGAGAGCCTCTGTGATGTACATGCATTTATGCAATACCTTCTGAATATATTTATAGCAATTTTAGAAGCCAAAACCACAAGCACTACAGAAAATAAAGAGCGTTTTGGACGCTTGCTTCTTCCAACAGGCAGATGGCTTTGGTGTTTCAAGGGGGAAAACAAAAACACGATAGTACCTTTGCCCAGATGTGTCAGGTCTAGAAATTAGCCACAGTACCTCAAACATCAACACTGCTCAATCTTTGTCAAAATCTTCCACCCATGGAGTATTCAATACTTGAAAACTTTGGCTCTCACCTCCCTGCATGCCAGCCCAACTCACCACAGCACCCTAACAACAAAGAAGATTCAGATCTAGATCTCCTGGCTGGCCATCAGCTTTGAAATGGGCTGGAATCCCAACCTTATATACCAGCAAACTTTTCTGGAAGGAGAAGACAGAACTCCAAAAATTAGTAGTTTGAGCCAATCTGTGATTAGTTTAATTCCCATAACATCCCTGAGAAGTTGGAAAGAAGCCCTCATGCAGAGGGCAAAAGACAAGAAGCCATAGGACTCGCTCAAAGTCCAGCCTATAGCAGGGCCATAAAAAGCCCAGAGGCTCTGGACTTCTGTCCTCCTTAGTCTAGGCCACATTCTGCAGGAAGGCACAATAGGTCATTTCCATCAATTACCCCAGTGTTATTCGGAAGAGTCTCATCAGCCACTTGATTTAACACTACCAAGAATAAGGAAGATCAGAGCTACGTTTACTGCTTGATGAATGGCTTATTCTGCACCGCATCACGCCCTCCTCTGTGCTTGCAGAGATGTAAAATCCTCCACAGGGATACAACGGTGTTAGCAATCCCGGCTCTGACCTCCCATGTTTTTGGAGGGTTAGTTCAAACTGGATTGGCTCAATAGTTACGAGTTTTTTTTGACTGGTGGTGGTGCAGACTGCATGTAAAGAAGTGAGCTCAGAAGTACCTTACGTGCCACGGTTTGGGGAGCAGGAGCCCAGATGGAACCTGGCAGGAGTCACAGTGAAAAAAAAATGTTTATGTCTGAGGCAGTAAAATTCTCGAAGGCCAGGATAGAAATCTTGTATAAAAAGGCAAACTGCTTCAGCACAGCCACTATGGTGGAGAACGATTTCTTTTGCTTAATGATGCCACCCTTCCACAAAGAAGGATTCATTCTGAGCTGTGAATTTTGGGAAACTTCCCTGACACTGGTAGAGTCTGCCAACATATAAACCATGTAAGGAACAGAGGTTTCAGACTGGTATTTCTGTATTTGAGTCTACCGTATACAGCTAAAGCTATTAAATTTCACAGTGCTCTTCTATAAAGGTTAATGCTAAACTGAAAGGAAAAGCACCGTTTGCAGGAGCTGCAGTGAGTATCTCAATTTTACCTCTTTGTTTCCTATCGGTCTAGTTCATCTAACTTTTCTTTTCAGCATTAGTGGGTATAATTATATCAGGCTTCTATTATAGAGAATAAAGACAAAAGCACTACGTTCTTATTGTTTTTCAGCGGGCACATGTAAAAAATTCTTATAACTTACTCTTGAAAAGTGCTGGTTTGTCACTTATATGGTCAATCAGCCTGCAACTGTTTCAATTCTGCTTTTTAATTTGTTAAGTGCAAAGAAAGGTATTTTCTTTGATTACATCTGCAAATAAGATATTAATGTCAATTCAGTGATATGAAAATTACTCCCTCACTATGTAATTTGCACCTTAGTTATTATGGGTTTCATGAACAAGAATATTATAGCTGCTCAGAGTGCTGTGGATTTCTATTTTTTTTTTAATTAATCAAACTAAAAACAACCCCACCAACATAAAAAAAAAAATTATCTGTGCCCAGCTTTTATTTACCTTGGCGTATGTATTAATTCTGGACCAACGATGAAAACGCTGCTGCTGGCCCAGCACTCTTCTGCAATGAGATTTCACCAGAGAGAAGTTATAAGTGGCTGGGATGAAAATGAAAGAGGGAAAAAAAAAAAAGCTTACTTTTTGGAATGGCAAAGATAGGGGTTTAATACCTTCTTTAGCTTTCTTAAGTTAAAAACTGAACAATGGCATGTATTTAGGAGGATCCTTTCTGCTGTTGTTGAAATAAGATCCTTAATTTTTTTAATGAGAACTCCAGATCATGTGTGTTAACATCAGAGAAATGTTTATCCTAAGGCCTGATTCAATCCCTGTTACAGTTGAAGGAAAATCCTCGCATTGCAATAAACAGGAGATGTAAAACAAGAGTCTATTGCTTAAATGTCTACCCAGAAACCAACACTGCCAGGGGTCCCACTAGATTGGGGGGTGTGAGAGAGTGGCATAAGATTTTTTTGAGCATCGCTTCACACCGCAGTTCTACGTAGTCTGTGTTTTTTTTTTAACCACTGGGATTTTAAAAATGTGTTTCCAGCCCCACATCTTTAAAAGACCTTCTCAACAGACATTATTGGCTTATACCTCTGGTAAGTTAAAAGCACACTGTGTGTGTGTAGTGTATAGTGTGTGCAAGCTCACATCTTTCTGTGATTGCTCATACATTGTGAATTGGAAGCATCACTACTGAATAAATTTATGCAATAGCAAAATACAATTTCATAAGAAAAAGAAGAAACCCTATTGAACTGGAAGGGAATGGAGACAAGTGAGGGCCTAAGAAAAAAGATACAGATAACAAATCTGTGTTCCAAGGATACAAGGCCACACCTACACCCTTAGGTGCAGTACAGTTGAAGTTGCATTGTTTGTGTTGTGATGAGAGAAGTGCTGGGTCTGCTCTCACACCTTCTAGGGCAGTGGAGCTACTTCTGCTGGTGATCCAGATCCTATTAAAGTCAAAGGGAAGCTCCCCATGACTTCAATGAGAGTTGATCAGGTTCTCAGAATAACTTGGTAGAAAGAACTAGCTCAGCCATCTTTCACCTTCTACCTTCATGTACTTTTTAAGAGGCAGGAATCAAACACAGAAATATAGCTAGGACCATGTTCAAACCTCCTTCTACAGGCAGATAACTTAGGTGCTGTGACCACTTATCTCCATCAGCTGCAGAGACAGCAGGTAGTCCGACTCACTCGCTGCCCTCCTGAAAAGCCATGTCTAAATTAGGTGCCTGTCTTGAGTAGTCTGAACATGGCCTCTCGAACTGCCCTCTTGTTCCAAGGCCTTCCAGTTTTACTTTTTTTTTAAAAAAAACCCAAACAAACCCAGAGATTCAGACCCTAGGCTGGAAAGAAATCATGCAAAGCTTGTGCAATATCCCCCAATGGGCATCCTGGGGAGGGTCACAGTTGATACTCAGAGATCAGTGCTGGCCTTGGCAGTCAGAGCCTGGATCCGAGCAGAGTTGCAGGTCTTGCAGAGGATGTGCCCGTCCAGAGGGTAACAGCCCTGATTGTCCCCTTCAGACAGGAGGCCACCACAGTCCTAGGAAATAAGCAAACAGAAAGAGCAAAGTAAATAAAAAAGAACAAGATTAAGCAAAGAATCTATTAGTCAAAGAAACTCTCTCCTCACTCTCCACCTTGCAACAGGATCCAGCCTGAGTCGCGTAAAGTATGGAGCTGAGGCACATGATGTCTTTCATGATTAAGCCGTTTCCTGATAAGAGACAATGCTGCACAGAAGGTGGGTTCCCAAGCTCTATCCTGAATTTAATCCAATTGAAAATAAAAGGAGATTATTCCCTTCACATTTCTGACGAAGGAAAGGTCTTTAGCATTGGAGAAAACATCCAACTTCAGCACGTATTTATTAATGCAGAAAAAGATGAAAAAGAAGGATCACTAGGAAGGAACTTTGTTACCAATATCTGACTACAGGTATATCTCCTTTGGAAGAGTTAGTGCCACAAAGCTACAGCATCCATTCGAGGGGTGACAGCTAAGCAAACTCCTTGCCTCTCTCCCCCTACCAGAACTGTCACCTGTGTTTGTACTGCAATTGGCCCAAAAGGTTGTGGCTGAAAGGAGGATGTCACTGAGCAAAGCACGTGGAAATTCCACTAAAAGGCCCAAAAACTTGATCCAGAGACCTCAGCCTCTAAGTATATACGGCTAAGTATAGCTGCTAGGCAAGTTGGGAATTATCCCTCACTCTGTGATCAGGCAATCACTTGGCCCGAGACTGCTGATGGAGCTGTGGTGAGGGGATTGCAGCTTGCTTACAGGCCATGCCTCTTCATCATGGACCTGTGTTTGTAAATTTACCCGGCAAGCGAGCGGTGGAAAGAGGAATATCATTGTTGTTACTTTTGAGATAGCTGAGGCACACAGATTAAGGCCAAGCGAGTGTCTGTGTCCTATGCTCTCCAGTGCATCTACTTCTGACGTTCATGTATGTGAAGCCCAGGTATCTCAGCAGCCGGCACAGGGACATGCTGTATGACAAATTAGGCTCTACAAAATGTAGAGTAGGAATGTCCCAGCAGCTTTAAAACACTAGGCCTAAATAATGGGCTGATATGTACCCTGGAAGCCAAGGTCAGATTGAGAACTGAACCAGATGCCTCGAGTTTCATCCTGGACCTTTAAGCCTTAGTCCATCCTCTTGCCAGTTAAAGTTATTAAAACCTGCAATTGCAATAAGAAATACATTTGGTCTCATTTTCTTACCCTGCCATCTGGCTGATGTATTATCCAACAAGTAACACTTGCGTTGAAGAATTCTTGAAGGTTCCCTAACCCAGCTGTTCCCACATGTTAATTGCTTTAAGGTGATTTTTCTTCTCTGTCTTCAGATTCTTACCATCAAGATTATATGAAGTGCATAATGAAACTGAACAGGAAAGTAGCACAAAAAGCATTGCACAAAACAAGAATGATCACGTTTATGTGTCCATTAAAACTCTTCAACCCAGAGCCATATGTTGAATTTCCTGTACAATCTTGCTCAAATTCTAACACGCATTAGCTTTCATTTTAAGAACATAAACATGAGCAACATTTGTGTCCAAGCTATAATTTATGAAGTTCTCAAATATTAAGCCCTAATTACCTGAGTCACATTCTCTTGCTCTCCTAATGAACCTCTTATAAACAAGGGACCTGATTTTCTTCTCATTTGCGCCAATATAAATGAGGAAAAATTCCTTGCATGCTGAAGTCAATGAAGTAATTTGACTGTAGAGCCAGTGTTACAATAGGGTATGCCTGTTGTGTGTATAACATGAAGCAATGATGAAATGAAGCCAAGCTCTGCTTTCTGTTCTTCGCATGATTAGAATACTAACCTCACATCGGTAGCACTGGACATGGAAGTCACGATCCAAGGCGACAATGCGTACAGTCTCCTCTTGTCCTGGGGCTGGCATAATGGGCTCCTTACACACTGAACATCTCGGTGCAAACTTCCTGAAGAAAGAAGAGATGGTCCCAGTCATCGTCAAATTCAAAGTTTTTGTTAACTGCATCAGCAAGCCAGAAACGTGTGCGTTTGTACAAACACATACACACGTACGTACACGTGTCACAGTCTGTAGCTTTGCATAGCTGCCTCCTTGGAAAGAAGACAGGAAAGAGTACTTTAGTCTCACAATGCAATTTCAGGCTTGCAGGATATTAAAGAGTATTTTGCAGACTATTAGGAGAGGACTTCAACAATATCTGACAGTCAGCAAAGCATATTCCACTTGCTCTAATTAACAACTAAAGTGTCTGTTGAACAACCCATGATCATGACACCTATGCACTCCTGTAACCTTCAGGCTCAAACCCCAGCCTAACTCCATGCAAATCCTAAGGTTAGAAAGATAACCAGGATCTGCTTCAAGAGCATCTCGAAAAAAATATTAACGTTTGGAGATTGGAACAAATAGGTTAGTTATCCATTAGTGGGTTGCCCAAGCTTTAAAGGGAACATGTCTGGGTGCAGACAGACCAACATTCTCTCTTCCACAGTCAGAGTTGTATGGTGACAATCACTGTGAAGGGACTGGCTTGAATCAGGGTCAACTCGGGGATCAAGAGGAGTACGGACCTTTCTTTTTCCGCTTATATTGTCTACCATATGCCCTTCTGGCTATTTCACACATGTTCTGTATCAGCTCTGGTTTTGCCCCCAGCCAGTTGCCAGTGAGAAGTGGCCATCTCTGCTTTTAGGCTGGTAGGGATGCTTGAGTACATTTAGCCTGTGGTGAATCATTATTTGCTGTTTTGGTTCAAAACTTATGGGTACCAATTCCCTTGCTGCAAATTCCACTCACGAAAAAAGAAACTTTTACCTGGAGAATCTGTTGTCATGTAATGAGAGGTGGGATCATGGGCTATGGAGCGACAGAGGACAATGCTTATGGCAAATATTAGAACATGAGGAGATCAAAGGCCCTTCTCTTCCGAAATGCCTAGGAAAGATTGACTCTGCCACCCAGTCTGCCACATGAACCACCTCACAATTAACTAGCTTAGAGGGAAAAAAAAAAAAAAATAAAAATCTATCTGTACTAGGAATAAAGAAAAAAAATATTAATTTCACTGGCAGCAGATGAAAGATGTCTGTGTAGCTGGGATCTAATGAAAAAATGAATTAAACAGTGGCTATAGTGAGCGCTCTGAAAAATAACTTAAACGGATCAAGATATTACCGGAGCAGTAATCGCAGTTAATTATATCCTGCTTCATGCAGGTGCTTCCTTGTGCCATTTAGCTCAAACGTGGTGCTTAAAAATACTTCAACATTTCTCTGTCCAGGCCAGTGTAGGTAATTTATTATGAGTCAAATATTAACTCCCAGGACCCAGGGATGAATCTTGTAGACTTCAGGGATGTGGATGTGCTACTGCAGGGTCTAAGCTCAGGGGGCAGCTAAGTGACAGTGTGAGCATCGGCTACGGTTTTGTTATCAAGAGAATGTACAAGATGTAGAGCACTCGACCTCCAGACCAGGACGACATGTCATCCCTAATCAATTAAAACTGGGCTGGCTGAAGTGCTGCTAAATGCGTGGTTGGCCAAAGACACAGGATCACATTAGGTCTCATGCTATTCCCGTCATGTTCCCCTCAATCTTTCACTCAATGATTTTGTGCCCTTTCCTTGGATTGACAGCCTCCCACTTCTGACTCTGAGCCTGAGGTCCACATCCAGTCACTGCCAAAAGACTTCAACATGGGACATCAGCTCTTGCTCCCAACCTTTCTCCTGAAGGCATGTGAGCCCTTGGCCTGTGGGGCTTGGGGAAGCAGCAGTCTCCAAATCACAAACGGGTGCAAGGGAAACACTTCTGGAGCCTAAGCGGTGCATAAGCCTCTGTTGGGCTCATGCTCAGGACCAAATTTTACCTTACACGCAACTGCTGGCACAGCAAAGGAAGGCAACACAGCAGCTGTCAATTAACCCAATCTATCTGAGCTACAGGGAACATCCTCGTGTTTGATTTCAACATGCCAGTTGTTCATGGCTGCTTCCCTTTCTGTCAAGTCAGCCTGCTTCTTTGAGCTTTCAGGCCCACACACCGATTTCACGAGGCTCTAATTAAGTCTGCCCCCTTAGAAATAAGAGATAAATGGTTGAGATGTAAATTCACATTTTTCAGTATTGATTTCCTCTTTTAAATGAGGGGTGTAGTGTGTCTGTCTTTTCTATACAGGGGAAACATTTGTGCTCTGATTATATCTACCTGTCTTCCCTCAGTTAGTGGTGATGATAGGGGTGGCAGTGACAGAAACTACTTGCAACTATACCTTTCAACTTACTTTAAATAGCAGTTTCACTATAAATTATTACCAGGGCTGTATTTTTAGCAGCTTAAAAAAGCTAATTAGCAACTAGAAACAAAAGGAGCTGTGAACGCCCTGTGGCCACCTAGATCCCTCTAGCTGGTAAGCAAACACCTGCAGAGTGCAGCAGTACAGGACCTCTCTTAATTGCTCGGTGGAAGAAGCAGGGAGACGCTGATGTGGAAGTGCAGGTACAGGCAGTGAGGAGCAACGTGTACCTGCTGAGCGCAGGGGAAGGCAGGGGGAACGCGGAGCATTTAGAGTAGAGGAACACAGAGGTTATCCATAAATTCACATCTACACAAAACAGATCAAGCAGCTTCAGTCCCCAACCAATTAATCTTGTATGCCACGGTGTGCCTCCTTGCAGCAAAGCTCTGCCAACTGTTTAAGAGCCTTGGGAGGAAGTGGTAGAGGGTTCAGATGTTTTTGGACACTGAAACTAAAAAAAGGAGGATTTTTAGGGACAAAAGAGAAAGACAATAAACAAAGCCATTGATAGCAGCTTAGGCCATACTTATGGAAATCCTCGATGCAGTGGATGTTCCCACCGGCATCCACAGTGAACGGGATCCCATCCAGGCTGCGATGGCACATCACACAGGTGAAGCAGTGGGGATGATAGGCCTTCCCAGTGGCTCGGAGGATCCTTTCCATGATGGGCTTTGCGCAGACACTGCATTGCTCCAGTGTGTTCTGCAAACAAAACATACACAACAGATGTGAGTACCATCTCAGCAGGACATTTACAAAGGACAGCTGGGTTGGAGGCTGCTGCTGGTCTACTTGGAAGCATGAGGTACTTTCTTTTCATTTCTTCTAGACAAGTGTAGTACAGTCAACAAAGAGTATGATAACAGCACAGAGGCCAGGTCAAGCCTTTAGTATAGTGTGAGAACATAAATCAGAGCCTTCTCTCAGCAGCTCTGATAAATGATCGGAGATGGCCCATCAGGTGGGTGTATCTGAGACATGGCGGCTTCTGTAGCCAAGAGCACGCGAAAGAGTTATGCAGCTTGCGCTCCTGGGTTTTTCCCTCCAGACTGCCCAGTCTGAATGACCTGCAGCCGAGTTGATTAGAGACAACCGTCGCAGCATGCAGTGCAAAGCTGGAGCGCAAACTCCTGGGGCTACACGGAGCCCTCCTAACTGCTCTGCCAATGCAGCTCCCAGAAAGGATCTTTATCTGCCTTGTAGGAAAATCTTGATGATCTTCTCTCACCACAGAGATTACCGTTGAGTCCAGAGAGAGAACAAAGCAGTGTCTGCAATGAAAGCATCGCAAGGACAGGAGTTCAGGATGACTTAAACGGTTCATTTATCTCTGGACCACGATGTTTGAGATAAGACTGTGAATGCCAGCTCTAAGGCCATGATCCTTGCTGCACAGGTTTTACATACTAGCCTGCTCCTGAAGCCCTGGTGACAAAAAAAACCCCACCTTTCAAGTGGGGGGTGCACTGACTGATTCATCTCATTTCAATCCTCACTCACCCTTACAGATCATTATAGAAAAACCAAGATAATTTTGCTTCAGATGGCTGTCTGTGAGCCACACCAACCCTTCTGACACCAACTGTGCAACTTATCCTTTCAAACCAAGAACCTTAAAGACGCATGCCACGAATGAAGGATGCAACTCACATAGATAGATGCAAACAATAAACCTGTGGCAATGATTTGAGTCATTTCACCGGACTTTAGGAAAGCAGACTTCACTTACTACTCTTGCTTGATGCATCTGGAGTTAGCAAATAATGTTATCAAGCACTGTTTGAAACTTAGATGAGGTAGAAAGTCTATGATTATAATATTGATTATTATTAAGACAGAAATAAGAAGAGGGAGAAAAAGGAAAGGAAAAAAAATCTAAATGGGACAGAAATATAAAAAGCTGCTGGAAGGCAGATCATGTTGACAAACACAGGAAGGCTAAAGTTCTTTTGCTTCCTCGTGCAACAAAATTCCCGGGGAAAGTAGTGCTTTGACTGACCACATTGTTATTGCTTCTTTGAGCCAATATTCTCAGGGGCAAGATCCAGCCCTTACATGTGCAGCCAAAATGTATTGTCAGGAGATGAATCACCCAAGAGCTCAGAGAGGTTAATTCTACACTCACGTGTTTGCTATCGGACATTATCTCTGGGCAGCAAATCATTGGTAATGTATAAATATAGAAATACACAGGTTCATCAGGTTCATATCAGAAGATCAAAAGGATTGTTTTTGGAAAGGTTGATATGAAAAGTCCTAAACTTCAACCCACATGAGAACTGCCTCACACATTTGTAGAGACAGCAGAGCCACGCTAGTGTTGATTTCAGACTGGATTTTGTTTTATGCCTTGTAATAATGGGCAGGAAAGAATTATTGCTGGCCTTTCTGTCTGGTTGCTGTCACCATCATCATTATACAGTAGCTGGTATGCCAGAAAAAGCAAGGTCAATAATTTTCTCCTTGGAGAAATAACCTGGCAAATTTACCATTTTGCTTTGCATAAGCCAACCACATCACCTCAGTCTGCATCCACGCTGCTCCCTGTATTGCCAAGGAAGGAATGCAGCATACCTGCAGATACTGATAGAAGATTGTGCCACTTGTAAGGCATTTACTATGACACCTTCTGAATATCTGCAGGTATGGAGGGTTTGCCTCACCAAGTCACTGCTTGCTTCGTTTCCAACAGTTGCCAACAACGGAGGCCAAAGTATGAAAACAGGGCAAGCAAAACGCAATAATTCCTTAGGATATGTTTCCAGCCTTCAGCAATCTCTGGCTTCGGGACTTCCTGAACCAGAGCTTGGCTTCCCCATACTTAGCCTCAAGTAGATGTTTCTCCCATGGACTTTCCTGATCACTTTTCAGATTCTAATAATCATTGAGCACCCACAACATGGCCAGGAGTTTCATGGCTTACCTCCACGTTGGGTGCTGATGTGCTAAGCAGGTCCCCACGTCTGCTACTGCAGCCCACGTACCAGCTGAGCACAGCCTACCTGCTGCTGTGAACAAGGCAGAAACCTGCAGCTGCAATCCAACCTGCAAAGGGATTTAACACCAAACAGCATGGCCTGGAAATGCTATCACTATGGATCAGACACAACTCCTACTCACATGTTTCAGACAGAGTTTAAGACCGCAAGGGATCATTACAATCATCTTGTCTGACACCTCGCATTAACGCTGACTTCGGTGGGAGTTTTGCAGTGATCAGGATAGCAGGTAGTCACACTTCTGGATTATGCCTTCAGAAAACACACATCTTCTGTTCCCAAATCTCAGCTCAGTCACACTGTTGGACATTCTCACAGTTAAGCAAGACAAGGATTTTAAATTACCCAACTCCTTATTAAGTCTTCTATACAGCCTGAAAATTAGACCTGAGAAATTTATTCTTTTCATCCTTCCAAGTCTGTACCAGTGAGGAAAAACAAAGTCATTAGTTTCAGACTCCAGCTCACTCCCTGTCTGGGAGTGTATTTGCTCAAGCCTCTTTCCTTGCTAGAACCCTGGCTCAGACCCTTCTCTTCAAGGTGTTACCAGAAGATGCCAAAGGGAAAGCTGCCTCGATTCACACCCATTTGACATCAGGTTGCTGTAAGGCAGGATTTGGCCTGTGAAGCTAACAGGGTTTTCTTTGATTCTCTAATCGGGTTATCCCACATGCCTAAGCGCTGCCCCAGCAGCTAATAACCTGCGCAAAGGTATTTCTGCACATTATGGGAATAGCATCCCTGTAGGATTGTAAGTTTGGCTTCTTGATTTTGCTCTCTTTCACAGTTTAGCTAACTCTCCTAGCACCTCCTGGAGCTTTCAGATCTTCAGAAAGCCAAACAAGATGAAGAATGAAAACCTAACAGCTCTATTCTTGTTTTCTCTCAAACTGCCATTGCCAGCCCTTTCTGTAATCAGCAAGTAGACCTGGGTGCATCTGCTGAGCTACACAGAGCACCAAAGCAAGGCTCAGTGAAGAAAGATAAGAACCAGCTAGGAAACATCAGACCTAGGGGCTGTGGTCAAATCCATGTCATAAGAACATGGACCACGAATCTAGCATGGGCTGAGGGGAAAGTCTACCATCCTTTTCCTGTAATTTTTGGCTAAGAGGCAGGGAGTGCCCTTCTTTTTTAGAGACACTTGTGTCTCCAAATCCAACTAATTTTTTTGGTTTGAACAAGATGGGGAAAGAACCATCCATTTCTAAACAGAAGGTTGGCCCAATGTTAAAGGCTGAGTCTGGGTCCATGTCTTGAGGGCAGAACTGCTTTATAACCCCAAGCAAAGATATACTAAAACAAAAACAAAGACCTGAAATGACAAGGACATCAAGAATCAGCTTGCAAGTAAAAACTAAGAGACTTTAACATGTACAGCACAATCATCAGCAAAGTGGGAACAAGCTGCTTGGGAACAAGTATCTGACAATAAGTGACAGGGGGAGTTGTCTGAGGGCCTCCCTATAGCAATACTTGGTCCTTCAGAAACCACAGAAAGCCAAAGGGAGTTGCTTTGTAAATGTTTGGTTTAAACATGGGACACAAAGTGAAAATCCAAACTGCTGGGAAAAACTTCTGGGGTACAAGAGCCATTGAAGACTAGAAGTGGGAAGCATTTGAATCCCCTCCTGAAAACTACACATCCCAGATGGAAATCTGGTAAACGGCTTTGGGGAACAGAGCTGCAGTGACAGCCCATGAGCTGCAGCTCATCCTGCTTCCTTAATGCTGTAGATAACCCTTCATACCCAAATTTTGGGTGACAGCATTAACTCACAAAATAGTGCAGCGCAAGGACCTTCCCACAATGACCTAGCAATGAATGCAGAAGAAAAGCCACAAGGAGATTAGTCATTGCTGCTTCTGTATTGGTAATTCATCCAGAGCTCTAATGAACATAAATAATCTCTCCTGCACTCTGAACAGCAGACCAAGAGCTCATGCATGGGGATATGAGCACAGTATAGCTTATTTTGCTGGGAAAGGGGAGGGAAGTTGCTGGAACAAATTACGTTGGCTACTCAGGCACAGGGACACAAACTCACTTTCTGCGAGCACTGCAGAACACACACATTTTTTGGAGTGACTGCACAGAGGAGTGGTATTAGCTGTGGGAATCAAAAGTGACTGTTGTGCTAAAACCAGGCACATGGTCAACTACTGTAGTTGAACTGTAACTCAGTAAAGCGTGGTAAGTGAATTGCTCTAAGTCTTGTGACTCCGTCCTTCATTTCCTCTCCTTGAGCAGAGCAGGAGACATCTTCCCCACTGTGGGATGATTTTTGAGGCTTGAAAATGTTTCCATACTTAAGTGAAGACAGAACACTTTAATCTCAAAAAGTCTGGTGAATTTATAAACCCTAAATTAGATCAGGTCAATTGAAACATTGCACTTCAAATAATTTCAAATGGTTTCATTTAGGTTTTGGGTCTGCAAATATGCACTTGGATTATAAATTAGATGTAAAGCAGACATTGGTGGAGGGGTTAAGTGTCAAGATGTAATTTCAACACTTTCAAACCCCGTTTTTGGCACTATTTTTAGAAAAGGAAAATCTAAGATCCGATTTCCCCCCTCCAAAATCCCCAACCATTCCCAATTGCTATCTCCACAGATGGGTAAATCCTGACAAACACAACATTTAATTTATTAATGGTCAGCATGAAATTCCTTCCTCTGTATTTCAAGAAAGAATTTCA